CAACGTGTGAAGGTATCCAGATAAATGTTACCTTTTTATTTATATGGTGTAGTGAATTAGGTTCATTTTTTATATTTTGCGCAAGAGGACGGCTAGGGAAAAATTGATTAATTCCAAGAATTTGAGTGAATCTGTGATGATTAAAGTATTATTTTCAGTCGTTGAAGAGGAGTTTTTGATAGCTTCTAATATTGCTGTGGTTTCCCCGGTGTAAATGCTGTAGTGCTGTGGAATTCTAACGGCATATTTGTAATTTTTATTTGTGAAGACTGCGGTATGACCATTTTCAGTTTTTGATGCATCTGTGTATATAATGTGGAGATTTTGATACTTCTCTATCATTTCTTTGAATGCATTAATGATAAGATTGGGATTTGTGGTAGTTTTTGGGTACTGTTAAAGTTAAATCGGTGATAGGTAAGGGGGTAAGCCATGGAGAGAAGTCTAATTTTGTGATTATGGATAATTTGAATTCATTGCAATTGAATTCTTTTTGATTGATTCTTTCCCTAAAGGGTTTGTCTTTATATTGTTTGTTTCTATACAAATTGGATGTAGTTGCGTTAATAATCTCATAATATAATGAGTGTTTTTTATTGGAAGATATTCTTGCTGCATAATTTAAACTAAGTAGATGTCTTAGATGTAGAGTAGGTTCTCTTGATATTACTTGTAAGCTGCTTACAGGACTGGTTCTGAAAGCACCGACGGCTAATCCTAGAGCTGTTGTTTGAATTGTGTTAAGGTTTTTTAGAACGTTTTATTTGCTGTATCGTAGCATATTGCACCGTAGTCCAGTTTACTGCGAATAATTGACTTGTAGAGCTTAAGCAGAATACAAAAATCAGCTCCCCATATATTACTGGATAGAATTTTCAGCAAGTTTATTCTATTTTGACAAGTTACTTGTAAATTCGTAATGTGAGTTTTCCAGTTTAATTTGTAATCAAACTTTACGCCCAAAAAATTCGATTCCTCTGAATGAGATATATTTTGACCGTTAAATATTAACGAAACAGGAATGGTATTCTTGCGTTTGTGTCTTATTAGTTGAAAAGAGGAAGCCTGTTTTGGAAGACCATTCATTGATTTTGTATAGAAGGTTCTGTAGTATTTTAGCCCTAGATGTAATATTTTTGCATTTAATATAGACAACTAAATCATCAGCGTACAAGTTTGCTTTTACAGGAGGCTTAATTGTATTTATTACATCGGTAAATGCAAATTAAAAATAAAATTGGATTTTTTTCTAATAAAAAAAATAAATTTGGATAATTTTTTTTTATTGAGTTTAATGCGTCGACAACTAATGGTCATTGGCATGGTGCAGTGAATTTTTACAGTCAGGTACCTAGTGTAGAGTGTAGTGTGTGTGTAGAGTAATTGTCTTGATACTTAGAAAAGTCGACGTCATTGTCTTTGCTAAGAGACGCTAATTGTATCCGAACGTCTGCGGTCCCTCCGGTGAGTACCGATCACACAAGGATAGAAATTATTTTCATTTATTAATTTTTTATAAACGAAAATGTCTCCACCCAGGTATAGAACCTTTTTAAATAGAACAATATTTATCAAATTTTCATTGTTTGTTAATTTAATAATATCTGTAATTTTGCTTCCGTTTGTATTCTTAAAATATCAGCTGATAATTGTTTATTATTTTAGACTAAGGAAACAACTTGTTTATTTTTATTGGTAACATTTTTTAACATAGTTTTTGTTGGGGAACTCCTTTCTTTATCAACATCTAGATTTTTATTAACAGCAATATTTTTTGCAGGTGTGTTTTTTTGTTTTTTGGTTATTCTTTACTGGTAGACTGTATCGGTCATTCAAAATTGAGGTTTCTGTTAGAATGGTATATTAAATTCCTATTTTGTTTGTAACGAGTTCGTTACTTTAATAATTCGTAAACATTCTTACATAAAATTAATAATTAATGATTTTTAAATTCTTAAAATTTAAGTTGGTAATAAACAGCGACCCCAGCGGCTGTTTTAGGCAGGCATGCCTATCCGACTGAGTATTAACAATTAGCGAGCATTCTAGTCTTAACTCTAGCTAAAGGAAGTTCTCTGAACTAAAAAGTAGGCGGCAAAGAGCTGGGCTAAATTTGTTTTAAGAAAAGTATTTTTTTTTTTTTTGGGGGGAAGAAGATGAGGAAATTTTAGTTGGTTTTAGTGTTATTCATCTGAGTTAGCCGCTCTTTTGTCGCCTACTTCCTACTTCCGAAGTTAGTCCAGAGTCAAAAATTTCTCATTTTAATTTGGTTGGGATTTATTTAAGAATACAAATTGATTTGTTCCCTAATGGGTGTACACCTTGGCCATCACCCTTAGCTGTTCCATCCGAGGTACAGACCTCATATAAGCCTTCCAGGATAACTTCAGGGAACCAGTTGGAAAGACTGCCTTAGAGTGTGGAACACAGCTAATTTTATCAAGTTTTGTTTTTAATTTTAATAATTTTTATATACTGGATTTTTTTTTCAATTTTAATAGCTTTTATACACCTTTTTTTTGTTTAATTTTAAATATTCATACTCGGACTAATAATAAAGACCCGTCATTTTTTTAAGCTAATTTTAAATAACGTTTAAGGACTAATTGTCAATTACAGGTTAAGTTTTAAATACTCCCTTATAACCCGGTTTTACGGTTTTATGTGTACACATTTAATCAGACAGTTTTTTTTTTTAAGATTTTATTATTATTATATATTTAAACGTTTGGACATTTATCTCGTCAAGATAGTGTCCTTATTACTTGTCACAATTACATTCAATTGAAAGCCAAAATACAGAGTTGCATCTCTGAGGCAAGTAAATTACCTTTTTTAGGTCAATCATCACCATTTTTTCCCATATTTTATTATTTGTAAATTTAGATCATCAAGGATCAGTTGGGTATAACCAGGGCATTATTTTATATAATTAAGTTGGCTGTACCTACATAGTTGGTGGTGGGTATTTTAAGAATAATTTATATTGTATATATTTGGCTAGGGATTAAAGTTTTGGTGAAAATTAAATATTTCAATTCATACCTATATCCTTTTTTTTATTTCAGCACATAACTTTACAAGATACCTTGGAAAGTTTATGTAAATACTTTCCTGGTGACCACTCACAATTTGGAGCAACTTCGATAATCACTTTTATTTATCTTAGTTATATTCCTATAGTTTTTTATAACCTTGTCATTCATTTTCTTATTCTACGGTCTCTGTAGGGCATGCAAATTTGCCGAATCCTCCTTTGAGTGTCAAGTAGTCACTCTCCGGCAACTTCTGCTAGAAAGCTTTAAAATTATATTTTATCTATTGTCTTTAACTTTACCCCCAACTACTTGTGTTTTATGGCATGAACAATGAAGACTTTTGTTATATTCTTACACATTTTTTGTTACATTGGCGCACAAAGCATTTTTGTTACATGTCTTTTCTACTCCCTTCTGTTCTCTTCTGCGTCTGAATAAATAGTAATGTATATTTTTAGAAATGAAAGTTATAAATAAATAAATAAATAAATAAAGAAAAAAAATAAAAATAAAAAAAATATGGAAAGAGGTGTCAAAAGAAACTAGAATTTAATACTAAGAAACTAGTAATAATAAAAGTGAATTTCTGTAGTAAAAGTATTACAGATATTCACTGACATGCACACCTATGTACATATTTTTACTAATACTCGTAGCTCTTTCGGATTCATATCTGATCCGATCAAAATTTTTATAAAATCAATTTACATGTCAATTACACCAGGATATTTCCATTCCAATAATTAAATTTTTTCTGCGTACCTTATCAATATTTACATAATGAATAAGCAGGGTAGCACCCGGTTGGTGTTATATCGCTTTTTTTGTAAAATAAGGACTTAATCGCATGGTTGACATATCCATTAGCCTATAATTATTATGCAAATATGCTCATAAATGAAATAGATCGTTCTTGTACGAAATTTAAAAGGAGGTATAATTATTTTTCTAATTAATTATCATTTTGTTGTCTTTGCTTTTGCTACTATGCAGGCAAATTAAATTTTCGCGTTACTTCTATCTCAGCAGGTTCGACTTTGTAATGTCGATTTTACATACAAGTGTACACTTCATTATAAATTACTTTTACTTGTTTTAAGCAGCAATGAATTGACAGTAGGTTTTCAACGGGAAACCTTTTGATGTATTATCCTTTATGCCTAATACAATAGAAACATTTTCTGCTTTTATAAGTAAAGTCGTCCCAGGAGCGCAACTCAACAAGATTGGCAATATCATTTTAAAGTCGTCTACTTTAAAATGCAAAATGTATGTCTGAATTGTCAATATAAATGAGTCAGATAAAATTAAATTATTAGAAGAATTTTTCACTATGTAACAAAAAACAAAATTTGTTTAATTTACTGTTTGTATTTTGAGAACGATTTCCGAAGTGGAAATTGAAACGTCAAACGTTTTTTATCTTTAATTGTGGCTTATTCCCAGTTAAATAGTAATTAATTTACAATGCCACAAGAAAATAACTTCAGAACAATATTGTTGACTATAGTATAAAAGTACAAAATAAACAGATTTTATACTTATTATCTGAGAATTTATATTGAATTTTATTAGTAAGTGTTAGGACAAAAACGAAAAACCCATAAAAATAATAAATACAACAAATAAAAAAACAGAAAAACAGAAAGAGAGAAAAGAAGGAAAATGAAAAATTTTAACAGATGAATGAACAAATGAGAAAATAAAAAAATAAATAACGATAAAGGAGAAAACACGTATTCAGAGGGAGAGATAGACCTATTTTATTATAGTTTAATTTGTATTAATATATTGTTGTTTTTTTTTAATTGTTTTAATCAACTGTCATTATATTTATGTAATAAACCTGGTAATTTATACGTAATTAATTAATATTATGGATCATAATACAATGTAAAGATGCTTAAAATGTATCGACGATCATTTTACATACATATTAACCTATAAATTATTTTGTTTCAGAATGTTTGCAGTCACAAGGTGCGGTAGATGTCATGCTGGCATATCGGCGAACGAATTAGTAATGAGAGCACGGGATCTGGTCTATCATCTTCACTGTTTTTCATGCGTTTCTTGCGGTGTACCATTATCGAAAGGTGACCACTTTGGCATGCGGGAAGGCCTTATATATTGCAGGTAATTATCCATCGAAAATAAAATGCTTAATTACTAGTTTTGCTACTCAGGTGGACGTTCAGGAAGTTTATAAAAACTTCAAGTGGGTGAAATCATAAAATATAAAAACTTCTATAAAAACGGGCAACTGTCTTTGCATCGACTTAGGTGGCGTATAAAGAGAATTCGAATAGACAACTGGGCAACCTCTATGTAGGTGCTTACTTATTATTACAATATTAATAAATTAAATTGCGAATTTGCATTTGAGAGTATATTTATTGTTAATGCAAAAAATAGTTTCAATGTAGATCGTAAAATAATTGGTCAAAAGAAAATGTAAAAAAGTATTTTTGAAGTGTGTATATTTTAAGCAATTCCTAGCTGAGCGCTTTCGACTTTACAAAGCCATCATCAGAGCTATGCTACAATAAAATATTCTTATAAGTACTAGTTGGTGAAGATTATAATTTTTAACTTACGTCAATTTATAAATACCACTACAATGGAGAGATCTCATTTCCCTATATGTCGAAATTATGATTTTTTAGTTGTTGAAATTCTTAAAAAAACATATAAAAAACCAACACTGGACTTCACAAACACGTTAAAAAATTAAAAAATTTTTTTGTCATGGTACGGGTGTAAGAACCCGACCATTGATTGATGTGAGGAGGTAGACAGAATAGAACTAATGAAATCAAATGTCGGTCCTTTTAAACGATTTTTCAAAAGTGACAGTTGACAAATGTCATATAAAGGAAATAGAGATTGTTTTTTAAATTCTTACAAAATTATTTAATAGTTTGGAATTACTAATAGTCATCAAAGACTTTTTAAAAATTAAATTTTTAAATTAAATTTTATATGTTCATCACATCATACAGAATGACATTAGTTTGTAAATTCACTCAAGTCATTGCTCAAGGTCAATGTATGTTCAATCTGACAGCCATCCTTAAGAAACAAGGGCTCAAATTGTTCAACAATAATATAAAGAAGAAACATGGTATTAATGTTACATTATCTGATACTTAAGTGTATTGAGAATTGTATCTCTTGATGGAAATTTGTAAGAAATTTGCATAAAAATTTTTTTAAGAATATATTTTCATGTTTCAATTAAGAATAACTGTCAAATGAATTACAAAATGTTGTAAATTTCTAATAAAGTTTAAAATTTTGTTCGAAAATATAGAATTATGAAAAAATATATAATAAGATTGCATGAGGTCACCCTTCTTCCTCTAAAGTCTCCCATAATAATTTAAAAAGAGGTTTATAATTGCAATTGAGGTTGATTTGTGTGTTTAAGCAACAATCAGGGTTTAGTTTCATTTCTTTGGATATCTCAAGATCTTCCAAGAGATTCATGAGTCTAAAGTTTTTATTGGGAATGTTGTGTACAATTAAAAAAAAAAACAAATTACACAACATTCCCAATAAAAACTTTAGACTCATGAATGTCTTGGAAGATCTTGAGATATCCAAAGAAATGAAACTAAACCCTGATTGTTGCTTAAACACACAAATCAACCTCAATTGCAATTATAAACCTCTTTTTAAATTATTATGGGAGACTTTAGAGGAAGAAGGGTGACCTCATGCAATCTTATTATATTTTTTCATAATTCTATATTTTCGAACAAAATTTTAAACTTTATTAGAAATTTACAACATTTTGTAATTCATTTAACAGTTATTCTTAATTGAAACATGAAAATATATTCTTAAAAAATTTTTTATGCAAATTTCTTACAAATTTCCATCAAGAGATACAATTCTCAATACACTTAAGTATCAGATAATGTAACATTAATACCATGTTCCTTCTTTATATTATTGTTGAACAATTTGAGCACTTGTTTCCTAAGGATGGCTGTCAGATTGAACATACATTGACCTTGAGCAATGACTTGAGTGAATTTACAAACTAATGTCATTCTGTATGATGTGATGAACACATAAAATTTAATTTAAAAACTTAATTTTTAAAAAGTCTTTGATGACTATTAGTAATTCCAAACTATTAAATAATTTTGTAAGAATTTAAAAAACAATCTCTATTTCCTTTATATGACATTTGTCAACTGTCACTTTTGAAAAATCGTTTAAAAGGACCGACATTTGATTTCATTAGTTCCATTCTGTCTACCTCCTCACATCAATCAATGGTCGGGTTCTTACACCCGTACCATGACAAAAAAAATTTCAATTTTTTAACGTGTCTGTGAAGTCCAGTGTCGGTTTTTTAAGAATTTCAACAACTAAAAAATCATAATTTCGACATATAAGGAAATGAGATCTCTCCATTGTAGTGGTATTTATAAATTGACGTAAGTTAAAAATTATAATCTTCACCAATTAGTACTTATAAGAACATTTTATTGTAGCATAGCTCTGATGATGGCTTTGTAAAGCCGAAAGCGCTCAGCTAGGAATTGCTTAAAATATACACACTTCAAAAATCTTTTTTACATTTTCTTTTGACTTGTCATAAGTGTGTACAAAAAATATCAGTCTTTTGATTCGTAAAATAATTGTAGGTCTTGGGGACTAGTGTTTTATTTAGGTGCATTGTTGTAGGGGTTTATAGCTCCTGGTCTGGATTTATTTCTCTTTTACTTTTTTTTTCTAGCTGAGACTCATAGCTGTTTTTTTTTGGAAGGTGCTTCTTGTTCGGGAATCTATTTTCAGCCTCTTCAGGGCATATTTCCAGGTAGGCCCTTAAATATATGATGGTTTCTACCACTGCTGATCGGGTGATTTGTTGTCATTGTCCTACTCCCTCCATTCCCTAGTGAAAAGTAGGGAAGATAAGATATACTGTTGGTAAAATAGCTCACTATAGGTCAGTCTGATTTTTTTAATTTAAAAGCAGAGCTATAAAGGGAAAGAATAGAAGGAACCCAACTACTTTTTTTTAATAAAGTTTAATATTGTTCTGAAGCTATTTTCTTGTGGCATGTTAAAGTAATTCCTATTTAAATGGGAATAAGCCACAATTAAAAGCTAAAGTACGTTTATTGATGTTTCAATTTCCACTTCGGAAATCGTTCTCAAAATACAAACATTAGTAAATTAAATAAATTTTGTTTTTTTGTTACTTAGTGAAAAATTCTTCTATTAATTTAATTTTATCTGACTCATTTATATTGACAATTCAGATATACAGTCGCCAAAGTAGGCGACTTTAAAATGATATTGCCAATATTGTTGAGTTGCGCTTCTGGGACGATTTCACTTATAAGATAATTCATTTGATTACATGAAATAACCTTTAATTTGAGAATAAAATAAAAATAAAACAAATATCATATCTAAACAAAATTTAAAACTCACAGTATGGTGGAAATATGTAGATGATGTATTCTCGATATGGCCTTTTGGATCAGTGTTGTTGGACAAATTCCTAAATGATATAAACGATAAAGAAGAGACAATAACATTTACCATGGAAAAGCATATAGGCCACATATTCATACACGATAAGTACCGCCTACTGCAATTGATTGTCCAGGGAAAATAGACAGTAAGCGAGGGCCAAGCAGGAGAAGACATTCGTGGCTCCAAAATCTGCGGAAGTGGTTCGGGCTCACATCGGTCGAACTATTTAGAAGCGCCACAAACAAGATCAGAATTGCCATATTAATAGCCAACGTTCGCAACAGACAGGGCTCTTCAAGATGAAGATGGAAAAGCAATATAATAACACAATACCTTTCCTGGATATTTAAATCTCTAAGAACGATACTGGATATGAGACTCAGGTGTATAGAAAACCAACACATACCAACAGATATTTAAATTTCAAATCAAATCACAATATTAAAATAAAAAGGGAATCATTAAATCCTTATATAATAGAGCCAAAATTACTTGTTCTAACGAAAATTCGTTCTTGAAAGAAAAACATTTGTTAACATCTGTTTTATTAAAAAATGATTATCCTTTATCGCTTATAAATAAGAAATTTTCGACAATCGATCAATAAGAACAGAACAACTTAAATGAATGATAAACCCTCTACATAGATTTTTAATATAAAGTTATGGAGACAGAATAATTTTGACTACCAACTTTTTTTTGTAATGAACCAATTATTTACAAAAAAATTTACAAAACACGATGTATTCTTTCATCTATGCATTCTTTTTCCATCTGATCTGTTGGACCAATGATAGGATCATGGTCCATTTGTCATATCTGGTGAAAGAAAACAGACTGCAGCTTGTTAAGACAATGGCCTCTTTTACAATTATCCCTAGGTTTAAATCCATATTTTTTCGCCCAAATTTCTTAGACGGTTATTAATAAAATCATTGTTTCTATTTTTTTAGGCCGCATTACGAAATACTGGACTTCTGTGATCCCCACGATCCCATGGACGTCATGTATAATGGCGGAGGATCTCCCGGATATTATCCAGCAAGCACCCCACCACAACATACCAAAGGGAGACCAAGGAAGAAGAGGATAATCACCGAAGACGAAACGTCATGTGGAGAAATGCCTGTAACTATGAGAATGGCAGCTGCAACTCTAGGTAAGTTTCTGTTTTAAGCATGCTTGTCTATAAGAGTGTTTCCCGAACTTTCTTAGACCGGGGACCCTTTTTAACAAAAAAATTTGTTGGTGACCCTCTTGTCTTATAATACATAGTTCGTTCGTCATTTAATAACGTTGTCAAATCAAAGAGAATGCTGTCTCAGATTTGGTATAGTTGTTTACCACAGTTTAACACAAGGCACTACGTTAGTACCTAGATTTTATATAATTGAAAATTCAACTTTATATAAGCGGGAAAACGTGATTAAACAAAAATGTTGCGTTGCCGTGCTGTAGTAAAATGGTGCATAACTGCTGTAACAATGGCGTACTGCTGTACGGAGAACTTTAAACAAGAGCAATACCGATAAACTAGAGGCCTTCGAAATGTGGATATATAGAAGAATTTTGAAAATACCTTGGACAGACAAAATAACAAATTTCTTCGAAGAATGAACAAAGAACATGAGATGTTGATCACCATCAAGAGAAGAAAGCTGGAATAACTTGGTCATGTGATGAGAGGGAAAAAGTACCGATTGTTCTAGTTAATTATCCAAGGAAAGATTCAGGGCAAACGAAGCGTGGGGATGTAGCGTTTACGCTACTAATTAACCCCTCAAGAAATTTCTTATGATCCGCCTGCGGTCGATTTTTAAATCGACATTTCTCCACTCACGCGCTGGGAGCGCTTTGAAAGGATTGATCGATTTTGTGCTGAAGCGAAGCGGTTAGTTTTGGTCAAGCTCACTAGGTAGACACGCCAACCGGTGAAATTTTTTCACCTTCAAAGTGACGGAATTGGAACAAGGAAGATAATCTGGGGGAAGAATAAAATAATAATAATAATAAAAATAAGTAAATTTTAAAAATCAAGATATTCATTTATAAGAGTTCCACATAAAAGGAAGATTTTTCTGGCGTGCTGCGGCTCCATATTCCGTCACTTCACTTGAGGATATTCTCTTAAGAATATTCCCTCAAGGACTAGTAACTAAATTTCTTGAATAGTTAACAACTTGGTTATGGCGTTACCGATTTCTTGGAGCAGATAGACCAGTGCCTGGTTTGACTACATTAGACTCCTCTGGGTTTGTTCTTACAGTCACAAACTGATGTAACCGTGCCAAGAGGAATTTTCCTATGGACTTATAGGGCTGTAAAGATAAGTTGTTTGACTGTGTAATTTTTTGTTACTGTCTATTTTGTTAACTTTTCATATGCATATGATCAAGTGACTACATTTTGATAAAATATAATTTTGATATTATTGGGAGAGGGAAAATACCTTTCATGTTTTATGAGGTTTTATTTTAATTAGGATTTCAAAAGTACTGACCAAACTCACTTTTTTTGATATAATATTTTTTTTTAATACAATACATTTTGATACAATAGAATTTTGATTTTGGGAAAGGGAAATAAATTTCATGTGGTTTTTTTTTAAAACATTATATAAAGAGTATTGAAGACTCACTTTTGGATGTAATATAATATAATTGTAATAGATTTATCAAGTTTGATATCTTTACAATATTGTAATTTGTATCTTATTTTAGTTGAACTAGTTAAATTTAAATTACTACCTTTTGTGTTAAGACTTTGGCTACCATACGGACTATTCTTGGTGTTACTCATATTTTAAACTTTATTTGGCCAGTGGTAGTGACTATTCGCTTGTTGAGGGGCCATTAGGTCCTATCGTATCTTTACACTACCCACTACCACTGTTATTTAGTTTTGCATTATATGTAAATTGTTAATACATATATATCGATATACACATTTTTATAAATATATTTATTGTTACTATTTTGAGTTTTATTTCAGTTCTACTAACCAGTATATAATATAGCAAGATAAGATTAATATTTAGTATTTTGGATTTCAGGTTATTATCTCTAGTATCATTTGTTTCCGGTCATTTGTTACTTCAAAATCTCAACTATCGTTGAGTTGGCGCCCTTCTTTTCTCTTCTTATTGTTCTCTTTCTATAAACTTATTCCCAGTGACCTTCTTTAGTTGTATCACATTTGATATTAACAAGTCTCATTTCGTTTCTTGTCTCATTAGCTCATTATCTTTGCTATCTGCTTTGTATATTTAAAGCCACAATTCAGTGCATTGAAGCTAGCCCGAACACTCACCTGAGATTTAGTGTCTCTTTGGCCATTTAACTTTGTTCCTCTGAGCTTAGTCATATCTTTAGTATTTTCATTACCTCTCTTCCAGTTCTTCTGGAATTTGGAAGTCTTACACTTCCTAAAATCCAATACTCCCGGAGTATTGAGGACGACGTATATCTTGGCTGCGCAATTTAAGAGTCTAGTTCCAGTGCACATCTAACCAATTATTTAGAGCAACAGCTTCAAAGATACGAATAGCAATTATGATTGCCAAACTCCGTAGCGGAGAGGACAATTGAAGAAGAAAAAGAATATTTCAATAATACGATATCAATATAAATTATGAACTATACATTGTTTGAAATACCTACCATATTATTCTTTTGTTTTCCGAATGAAACATAAGACTGTTACAAATACCAAGTTTGCTACACCCCATTATTTCGCCCTACGCAATAACTGTTAATGGGGGAAAATGAAAGTAAATAGAGACTGAAATAAATACTCAGATTTTTTTATTGTCTGCCAGTCAATGAATGCGGGGTTAACACAAGTGAAACATTTCTAAGCGTATTTTGTAATGATATTAAACAGGGGGATAATACAGAGCTTGTCCATTGATATATTTTAAAGCTTTGATTTAAAACATTCAAAATTATTTTGATTTTACATTGAAAGTGAAAGTCCCACTATTTAATAAATCTGTAGATACCTTTTTAATACACGAAAGTTTGGCACTGAAAAAAAAGTTTTTGGAATGCACAAAATAGTTTTTCAGTTATCTAATATTGCGTAGTCAAGATAGTTTCACTTTTGCTGTTTGATTCCAATAGAGGTTACAGATGATTCTAATGTCTCTACTGTCTATGTTTTTATTATTAAAATTTCTTTAAGTCGATTATGCTGCATTCTGTCAAATGCCTTCTCAAAATCAATAAAACAGGCATATACTTCCTGATTAATATCTAAGCATCTCTGCGAAAGAACACTTACTGCAAACAGTGCATCTCTTGTTCCCAGTCCTTTCCTTAATCCCATTTGTGTATTACTTATGCCTTCATCTAATTTCTTATGTATTCTATTGTGAATTACTTTTAAAAACAATTTCAAGACATGATTCATTAAAGCTATGGTGCGATGTCCATTGCACTCCTTTTCATTGGCTTTTTTTGGGAAGCAGTATGAATGTTGATTGGAGCCATTCTTTAGGTATTATACCTGTTCTATATATGGTATTGAATAGATCCAAAAGAAGTTCAATAGATTCAGTATTCACAATTTTAAGTAATTCGATAAGAACTTCATCAGGCCCGGGAGATTTACCACCTTTAGCTTGTTTCATTGCATATTCAATTTCTTGTCGTATAATGTCAGGGCCAGTATCATCCTTAAATTGTTTTGGTGCTTCTGTTCTCTCTTTGTCTTCAAAAAGTTGTGCTATATATTGTGTCCATCTCTGCATTTTTGGTTTATATCTGTTATAAGAGCACCCCTTTCATCTCCTAGTTGCCTAGTTTGAAGTGTTTTTCTCATTCCTGTTAATTCTCTAATTATTTTATGCATGTTAAAAAGTCATATTTTTTCTCAATTTCTTTTAGTTCTTGGCACTGCTCATGTAACATTCTATAATGCTTTTATTAGTCCTAATTTATTGTCTTTATTCTAATTTATTGTCTTTATTCTAATTTATTAAAACTCACGATAATTTATCAAAAGTCTTTATTTTATACTAATTTATTTTACACTTAATAATTACAAATAATTTATTTGCGTTCGTTACAATTTAACGCGAGATCGCGATCTTCTTTTGACTACCCGCTCAATGAAAATCTTCCGTTATTTATATAAAATGATGTGTTAAAACGGAACATCGTCGAAGGTTCGATGGCATTCTCGACTAGACAGAGCAGTGACTGGTCTCAAAACTGGTATGTTTTTCATCGGCTCGTCCGCAGAAAGTTCGATTGTTGTTTTTTAGCGAAGGAAACCCAAAGGGTGTCAAGTAGATTTTTGACCTAGAAATTACGAGAATCAATAAAAAAGAATTAGTCATAAAATATTTACAGTTCTATACGCCATGACATTTAAAATCGTAACAATTCTCTCCTTAGCTTCTTTTATTCTCTTTTTTATTAATCGATCAGTTTCATTATATGTATTTAATTGGATTTTTTGTTTTGAATGATTTTCTTTCATTCATTAATAGTAGTATTTCTTCAGTCATCCAATCTTTATGTGTTCTATTCTTTGGTTTTAAGTTTTCATTTGCTGTTTTAATTATCGCTTCTTTTTTTGTTTAGTGTTATGTAGAGTATTATTTTATGTCTGTGATATTCACCAAATTGTTGGATAGCCTATAATTTTGACGAAATATCCCTGAAGATGCTATAGATAGCGAAAGTACTTGGACAAGATTTAATAAAAAACTGTGCTAGATATCTTCTTTTTATTGATTAAAAATTAATTAAGTTTTAATTATAATTTGGACTGTGATAATTGAATTTGTTTATATAAATTTAAAACTAAATTCAACAAACTTATATTTATCAATTGATTCAAATCCGTATATTCAGATAGTTCAAATAATTATACCAGAGTGATATTTGTGATCAATGCCCCAGCACTCGAGCACGTCTCTGGGGGTTGTTAGCAAACTCCTCCCGCACTTCACGTCCTTGCAGGCGTGAGAGACTTCAACCCTACACCCGCCATAGTTGAAGAGTTCTTCAAACCGGCGCTCGTATGCATTTCTGAATAAATATAATTATTGTACACCTTGTCTTGAATAAAGGTCCGTTCTTTTTATTATTTGTGTATTTGTATTAACACATGATTTCGTC